GTAGCTCTTTAGTTCCACCCTTGGTAAAACTTGCCTGTGGGGAGCCTTATGAGGCCCATCTAGCAACCGTGGTGGAGTTAGCCAACTTGTAATTCCTCGGCGAACCCCTTTCTCTCCTGGGGCCCTTTACCTCGGAGATTTAATATCTTACCGGTTCATTCACTTTCAAATTATATTAATACTTCTTTGCTCAGTGACACGTTTATTCCCATTTCAAGCTACAAATTGACGGGCTTATTTTAAACTTCCTATAGAGTGGTTTTCTCGTTTTTCAAGCTTATCAGGAGAGATAACTTTATCTCCGATGAAAAGGAAGGAAAGCAAGGGGGAAAAACTCTTTTTGAGATCTTTTCACAATGATTAACGATCCTGATACTAAACTACCGAGTAAAACTATCGTCTTTTCAGAAGATCTGAATTCATTATAAAATCGGTTATAAAACGGCAAAGCTTTTTCGGAGCACCGGTCTCCTAGGAGAAAAACAAAAAGTGGATTATCGAGTAAGGGCAAACAGACCGTAATAAGAAAAAGAGGTTTTTCACGTTGTCCTTCCCTGCCTCTTGAAATTTCCGAGAAAGAGATGAAGCCAGTGGATATAAAAGGGGATCCGGCATACAAATGGCATTTTTATAATTCCGTAGACGTCTGTATTATTTCAGTCACAACTATATACAACACATTAGAGCAGATTTTTGACGATCTTAAAGCAAAATTAAAAAAAAAAATCTTCATACAATGTCTTTATCCAACAATTAATTCCCTTCACTTAACCCTTGATCATCAGTTTGGTTTTTGACATTGTTGTACTGTTCAATAATTTTTTCAATTTTTTTTTTTTTTTTTTTTTTTTTTTTTTTTTTTTTTTTTTTTTTTGTATCCCAGATTATATCTCCAGTGAGCGGTTGCTCCACATGATGGGCCGTAGGCCCGAAACGTTCATGTAATAGACAAAATTGAATAAAATAGTTCAACCAGGGAGAACTTGGGATTTTTCAACCTTTGGATAAGAATTGCTACAAACCGTGGATTTTAAGAAAAAGGTGATAATTTTGTGTACCTAGTGTGTGCTGAAAATGAATGCATTTATTAATCCATTAACCATCAATTAAATTAGTTATGCAATATATCTAGAGGGTGATGGAGGAATATCGAGTCCAGTAATGAGTGAGACAGTGAATAGTTTAAGGAACCTATTGAGTTAGGGCTGACTAATCTGTTGGTAGACCCTGGAGTCGTAACGCATAAAACCGAGATCAGACCCTGGACTGCCAAAACCTTGCAGTTGTGAATTTCAAATAAAACGAAAAAAAGGAAAATTATTCAATGTTATTAAATTAATGCTATATGCCAACTTATTGGTAAAAAAAAAGGTACACATTAGTTCATATTACATTGAAGGATCGGAGTTTGGAAGGCCATCATGAGTTTGGCAAGAAGTACCATCGGACAACTTTTATTAACAGTAGTTGGAAGTGACGTTTTTTAACGCTTTGCGGGACGGAAATGATCCCGGGCCATGATAAAGTTTATTTCCCTCGACTGTTGATTGACTTTTATATCCAACGTGGATCAAGCGAGGAAATTGAAAACTTGCAAGTCGTCCGATGAAAGGGCGTGTTTTCCTAGATAATTTTCCAGTTTTAGTCGGATGATACTCCCTGGCTGATTTTCCCTCTGTTATATCAACGTTCCCTTCTATCGGCTGTCACGCCCAGGGCCATTTTATTTACGGAAAGCCCACGACAGCGCTATTATGAATATTACTCGATGTAAAATAATATTATAATGATGGAACCGGCTGAGTGGGGAGGAGCCTGTCAAAAGCCAATACCGCTGCAAGTTACACGACGCTACGGATAATGTCGTGACTTTCTTTTAAATAATACATTTTATGGGTAGCCTCTCGTTTATTTCCTAAACCTTAGTTCTGCCTTCCTTTTACCTTTAATGCCGATCGTTGAATTTTACATGAATACGACCGTTCATTCATAAATAAAAGAGTAATTTTTTTTTAAATTTATTTATGTATTTACATTGCTGCGCTAAGTAAATTTTATAATATGTATACATGTTAAAAAACAAAATAAACAATATGTATATACAAAAAGAAAAAAGGAACTAGTTATTAATAGTCATTTCTATGTATTTGTGTTAATTAGTATAACTTTCACTTGAGGTCGCTTCAGTCGTCGTGGAGGATTACTTGGACTGGTAACGAACCAAAACCTTTTTCTGATGGGTTATCTGACATAATAATTGTTTGTGACACTTCTTGTAGCTGTTTATAACTATTTCGAAGACATATCTATAAAGGTCATGATAATACTGGACACATATAAAAAAGCGCCTTTGGTTGAACCCCAAATTTCATATGAAAAATGGCAACTCTTACTGAATCTATGAGTATGATGACGCATTTCAAAAATCACACTAAATGCGATCGATATATCACAAAAGTATGAAGTTCTTAGTAAATAAATAAAAAAATTCCTGTGTTGGATTAGAATGTCGGAATCAGGAATCCGGAAAAATGACACAGTCGAAAGGCATGCCAAAAAAGCCGCATTAAAGGGTTTAAATTAAAGAATATGATATGACAAATTGTGACAGAAGATGATTTTTAAATACCGGTTGCTTAGAGGACTAGCACGAGCTGTCCGCTGGATCCACAGGAGGTACAGGTCAAAATACATTGATTTCCAAGAATGTAATGGCTTGTCAGAAATTTTACTCGACTGTTGTTCGAATCCAGATTAACTATGGATTATGGGGTGCTCAAAATATTTGGATTAGAAGGAGATGCCAAACTGCGCTACATGAGATAATGCTGAAGAAGAAAGACAAATACGTGAGATAAAATTTACTCCTTGCTGGGTGTTTCTAGGCCCTTTAATTTGGAGGCACATATTTTAAAGGGTAGAAGGACTTATACAAAGTACTACTTGAGCATATCAGAGACTGTTGTGCATATAGGTGATCGGAGTGCGGTGACGGAAGGATACAGAGCATGTTACCCGTGGTGCCCCAAGAATAGACTTTTCCATTACGTATTTATCTCGATATTTACGGTTTTTATCCACGGCTTCAAAGGAAAAACGTTTTAAAAAATCTTGTATTTTTGTCCTCTTTTCAGGGGGTTGATTGCCCGTGCCCGTTCCTCGGTAGCTGGACCCGACGACGGATCCACTTCACCTTTAAGAGCATACGAATCACCAAACTGCCCCAAATGGGTCAAAGATAAAAGAACTATCGGCAAACCAAGGTCTGACTGGTAATTGTTTTTGAGTAGTGTCTGTGAGTTCCAAGCATGTCGTTTGTCAATGTATAGCCCAAGGTAGAGGACTATATTAGCTGATAAAAAAGGGATAGAATTGTAATATATGGGAGAAGTGGTTATTCTTCAGGGTTGAAATTGACACGTTTTTTAAGTTTTTATCATTTTCTATCTCTTCAACCAATTCACAAGTGAAGTAACGGGTTTGCAGATTTCTAGTTAAGAGCAAAGGATGGCGGTATTATTCACATGGTAGTAGGGAGAGTTCAGAAAGGGTAGGAATGTCAGCAGTGTAGAGGATGGGTCCTAAGTCACTTCCTTGGGGGACCCCTGCATCTATACGATCCTGCATCTATAGGTAAAAACACCTATTGAAACTTGTAGGCCTCACACCATCGATTTTCCTAGCTGAGATCCTTGCAGTAGATCTTGATGTATAAGAAAAAATTTGAAAAGTATTAATGTGGGCACATATACATTTTCTGGGACAGAAAAACAGTACTGTAAGCTTTAACTTATCCACCTTCAGTCACAGGCCTGGAAATGTTTAAAATGCATCCAATTCGAGGACAAACAAAATTGACCCGAGGGTGGTTGAAGAAAGGAACAGGTTGACAAACTAGCAAAGTCAAAAGCACCAAATCCTTTGGAAAAGAACAAAAACTGGCCCGCACCAAACCATGCTAAAATCGGAACAGAAAAAATAGAGAAAGAAATAATCACATATTGGATTAATTCAGCAGGTTCTAAACAATTAAATAAGTTCCTCAACACCTCAACCAGGCAAACAAAAATCTACCACTTTATCGAAAAACAAGAATTAGGTAAAATAATACATCTTTATACCAGTCATTATCCGTTTCATTAAAATTTTGTTAAATCAGACAAACAGAAACCTGCCGACTCTGTCATGAAACAGCGATATCATATGTGACTGCAATGCATTCGTAACTTTATCGTTGAGCACTTTCTGGAGTATGAAAATAAAGAAAAGTCAATTCCACAATAGATCTTTATTTATCTTTATAGGTCAGTTTCCTTCTAAGGAAGCAATTCATAAAAAAGGATTCCCATCCAATCCCACTAAATGTATTGCCCGAAGGTGAATAACGATTCATTCAGCTTCATGATCGCTGTACTGCAAATCAAAATCCACAACGAATATTTTTTTATAAAATCTAGTAAAAGAAAAACACTTTGCTTATACACATTTTCTTCGTAGGAAGTAGATTTTCATAGTACGAGCTCCTGTGATTTTTTTTCATGTCCTATGGTTATAAATTTATAGATATAATAAAATTAAAATTTTTTGCTCTTTGAAGGCATTGCGTAATTCTTTGGTGTGTTGCCCTTGATTCTCCTTCTTGCAAAAACTAAACTTGCAACTCATAAACTTTTATTTTTATGTCTAGTAGATATTTAAAAAATTTACTACTTTGATAAATATGAATAATTGCCACTTTTTATTTATATTTTTACATAAAAATCGGCCAAGGTATTTGATAAGGATAAATAAATAAATCGTTCAAAAAATAAATATTTTTTTAGAGCTGTGTTCGAAAACAAAAGGGAAGAATTCAAATGGAAAACATCGTAAATTTGCAAAATGATTCGCTGTTTGCTTATAGCCAAGTAATAATTTCTTTCTTTGATCACACCGGCTTTTCCCATAATATTTTTTTATATGTGTAAATAATAAATGGACGGATATTCGGAAAAACTGACCTGTTTTCCGTCCCAGCGAGAGTACTGCCTCCATTGGGGAAGACCCGGCCTCCAGTATTCCAGGGTGTATTCTTCGGCGTATTCTTGGCCTCTCCCGTGGTCGAACCTTCCCTGCGTCTGTACACCCGTCACGACGTGTACCGAACCCAGGTCGACTTGGATGTACTCCCTGACTCCGCTCTCCACCTGGGGCTTCGGACACCAGGCGCCTCCGGCTCGTTCCAGTCGCAATCTATCACAACAAATAGTTATTAATTAAGTATTCAAAGCATCAAATAAAAATAAATGTAATAATAAAAATACATTTCAAGCGTCATTTTTAAAATTTTTTATTTTTNTATATATATTACGTTTAATAAATTACATAAATTATTTACACCTAAATTGCATATATATTTTTTCCTAGGTGGTTTTTCATTTACAAAGTGTTTTTAATTGGGTTTGTTTTCCAATTGTTTAAGTGACTTTTTTGTATTTTTGGATGGTTTTAGCTGTTTTTTTGAAGTTTTTCTTGTCTATTTGATATTTCTCATAGTTGTTCTTTTTCTGATGCTGGTTTTCTAAGGGGGCTTTCCCGTCTCTAGGTTTTCTATCTGCTTTCTTAGCTGGGGTTTTTCTGACTGTTCTTTTAATTGGTTTCCTGTCCTAGTTGTTATTACTTCTTTCGTAGTGTTTTTGTAATTTGGTTTTTAATTCAACCTGCTTCAAGGTGTATGGTTTTTACTTTTTTATATTGGGTGTTTTATTGTAAGCTGTGTTTTTTTAAAGTCTACCTGGTTTTCATTGTAGCAAGGTTTTTTCAAGCTGAGTTTTTAACATAATTTTACTATGTGGTATTTTTATTCTATGTTTTTGTTCTATGGTATGTTATTAGGTTTTATTGGTTTTTTTTAATTCTAGACTTTTTATGTCCCGCTGGGCTTTCAAGCTGTGTTTCTTCGCAGATTTTTTTGTTTATAGGTAGGGTTTTTCTTTCTGCTTTTTACGAGGTTTTTTACCTAGGTTGTTTTAGAGGGATTTTCGTGAGAACTTTTTTTGTGTTATTTTTCTGAATGTATATTTATTGTAGCTTGAATTTTACCTTGCCGTTCTTTCATTTAATATTTTTTTCTAGTTTGCTTCTAGCTGAGTTGTTTAAAGCTTTTTTCTAGTTGGGTTTGATTTTTTTACAAGGTTTTTATTTTTTGCTGTTTTTGATAGTTGGCATTTTTCTATCTGGTTTTTAAGGTCTTTTCAGGTGGTGGTATGGTATTTTTCATTCTCTCTCACTATCACTCTCTTTCTCTCTTTATCCCATTCTCCAATTTATTCCTACTAGGTTTTTTATTGATGAATTTTGTTTTCTCACTAACGTTATTCAGCTGTTTTTTTCTGTCTGAGTATTGTTTTTAATTGGTTTTTATTTTCTAGCTGTTTATGTTTTCTATTGTGATCATTTTTCGTGTGGCTGGTTGGCAGCTTTAGCAGACCAAAATAATCGGTAAAATTATATATTTGTTTTTTTTGCTAGCTGGATTTTCTTTTGATATTTGCTCCAAAAATGTAGCGTACTAGATATAGATATGGTTCTATCGTGTAGTTTTGTTATTCAAGGGGGCTTTAATCCCCAGAATAAAGTTTTATTCTTTATTCTTTTATTAGCTTTCTTCTATTATCCAAATATGCAATTTTATTTGAAATCGCTTTGGAGGTAAGTATCGGTAGACAAAATTTTTTGAAAATGATTGTTATTGATATATTATTAGCATTTTCAGCAGTCTAGATAGAAAAAAGTTTAACAACTTGTATCAAGTAATATATAAAGCAAATATATTTTATTATTTATACGCATTGTCATTTCTTAATTTTACAAATTTTGATACGGGTTGAGACTTGATTTTTAATTTGGCGTAGTAAGCAAGTATATAAGAAAATCATATTAGTACATAATAAAAAACAATGTTTTAACGGGTTTCACCATGGTGAGACGTCGTATACAAAATATTCCGCTCACGGGATGACATTTAATTTCACGCTAAAATAAATATTGAACATGGTGGGAGAATAGAATTGTCTCTTGTGATCTGATTTGTGTATGTTTATAAAAAACAGACTCCTTCCACGTTGGCGTTTCAATGATGAAAATATAATATTGGCTTATGAAACATACATATATCAAATGTTTCTCTTCTGTTAATAATTTTCCGTGCATCTTCATGGCTAATTTTTTTTTTTTTGTATATCCGGAAAGAACAATTGCCTTTTGGTAGACGCAGATCATTATTGTGCGCGTTATGTTCTTTGCAGTTCGTATGCCTCTCTTTTATTCCACTTGCAATACATTTCAGGATAATATTAGAATTTTAATAAAACAATTATGTTCGTTAATAATTCGTTTATAAATAAATAATAATAATTCCGTAGAAAATCAGGGAAATGAATTTTAATATTCATTCGGCACTTGTTACAATTCAATTCACTAGTTTTCGTGGCCCGCTTGACCAATTAATATCTTTCGATTAATTAAGATTTTTAGTTCAAATAAAACAGTCGGTGTCTCGAGCGGGATTCAAAAAAGGGGGAAAATTCAAAAGGTGGGGTTGAGATGGGAAGTTAGTGTCTGAGTGGATCGAGGTCACGATAGCTCAAGTGGTAGAGCAGCGGCGTATCCAGCCGAAGATCGTGGGTTCGAATCCCGCTCGTAACACTGACTTTTTTATCTCAACTAAAAACCTTAACTACTTGTTACAATGTTTAATGGACCCTCTTCACTATGGCCGAAACGTTCGCTCAACACAGTTGAGCGACTTTGTTGAGGGGGATGGTCTATAGCGGCCCATTTTGGCGAAGTTTGGAAATGGTCTCACATAACACATCAAAGGAGGCCAATTACGCGAATAATGAGCGCAGTAGATAAGTGTCATATCCACTAAGCCAACATTGGTCGGCCAATGCTTATAGATTCCAACCAGGTTTCTGTCAGTAACATGTAAATAGAAGTTACACACCTTAGCAAAACACAAAAATGCAGCAGCGATTTACTCGTCCTCGATATCCATCCGCACGAAAAAGAAGCAACTGTAGGCCATTGAGGCCATGCTGGTCCATTTCTTGGCTCGGTGACCAGTTGCATTGGCCTGCCATGGCCCATAGTGTAGAAGGGCCAACAAAGCCAATGTTCCCTAACAACATTTCCAACTTGGCCAAAATGGGCCAATACAGGCCATCACCCTTCTAAACACTGTTTGGACCATAGGGAAGATGGGCCATAATGATTAGTTTAAAAAAAGTCGTTCTTGTTATGACCATGCGCTCCCTGACCACCGGTCTAATATGCATTCTCCCTCATGGCCTAAATTACTTCGCCTCGTGGTTTTTACCAGATCGCAAAACGGTAGAGTAGTAGACTAATTTTTTGGCATATGGAAGATGTGGATATAGCAGTGTTTTTTAAAAGCTGGGATTGTTTATCTATTTTTTTACCTTTAATTTTTGTTTTCTGAGTTTTTTTAGCTGTGTGTTTTCGTTTATTGCTTTCATTCTACCTGATTTTTTATAGCAGGGGCATTTCAGGAAGTTTTTTCCAACGAGTATTGTTTCTTTCCTAGTATTTCGAACTTGATTTTTAATTCTAGCTGTGTTTTTCCTGGTTTGTTATTCTTTTTTTTCTAGGTAGGCTTTCAATTTTTTTTCTATTAGTCTTTCTTTTTGAACTCGTTTTTGGCTTAGCTTCTCTTTTTGCTGTATGCTTTGGTATTCTGGCAGGTTTTTATTGTAGCAGGTATTTTTCAAACTGAGTTTTTGGCTTGGATTTTTTAAAAATTATTTTTCAATCAGTTTTTATTCTATGCTTTTGTTATGTATTGCTGGGTTTTTTGCTGTGATTTCTTTCCGCTGGACATTTTCATTGCTGTTTTTTTATTTATTGGTAGAGGTTTTCTAACGACTTGTTTATGTATTTCTATTATATTTATTGTTTATTTTTTATTTTTTTTTATTTTTTTATTTTTTGGTAGCAGGTATTTTGCAAACTGAGTTTTTGGCTTGGATTTTTTTTAAATTATTTTTCTATCAGTTTTTATTCTATGCTTTTGTTATGTATTGCTGGTTTTTTTTTGCTGTGATTTCTTTCCGCTGGACATTTTCATTGCTGTTTTTTTATTTATTGGTAGAGGTTTTCTAACGACTTGTTTATGTATTTCTATTATATTTATTATGTTTATTTTTTATTTGTTTTTATTTTTTTATTTTTTGGTAGCAGGTATTTTGCAAACTGAGTTTTTGGCTTGGATTTTTTTAAAATTATTTTTCTATCAGTTTTTATTCTATGCTTTTGTTATGTATTGCTGGTTTTTTTTTGCTAAAAAAAAAAAAAAAAAAAAAAAATGCAAGAAAGTGGAATACAATTTTTCCATCAGGAATTTTCATGACTGTAACTCTGTTTAATAAAAAAAAAGGTTAAAAAATGTTTTACAGGATTTTTAAACCTATGATTTCAAGTTTAATTGAATTAAAAATTGAATTTATAGAGAACGAGATCAAACATGACTCGTACATTCTGCAACGAGCATTTTTAATTATGATTGACGGACGATATTTCGGGCTTTTTATTATCCCATAAACTGTTCATGTTAATGAATCAATTTTCATATTGAATTTTATTTAAATTTGAAAGTTACAATATATATTGTTTTGATGGAGATCAACTTTGAAAGGTTTTTATTTAAAGTTGATTTCATTATTTCATACTTTTTTATTGTTATACTTTTTATTAATGGTCATAACTATTAACTATTATAATTACAATCTTATTATATAATTAATAAATACTTGATGAAGTTTTTTCTACAGGTGAAAAAAAATGGATTTTGGAGGAATTTCCTCTTTAACATAATCCGGTTTTCTCAGTTTTTATAACAATTCACATTTTTCTGGTTGACTCGTTACGCCAGCTTTTGTCAGATGGAAGGGTCGTCACCAATGGAATGAACCATATCTCTTTTAGTAATTTCACCCTCCAACACTACGTGCCTTAATTGACACTCTGAGAGCCCTTCCCATTCCACCCCCTTTTTTTTAGTATAAATACTGAAGCGTTCTACTTTAATTTTTTTTCCAACACGGCAGCAATTTGCCCCTCCCACCCCGGTCCGCAAAAGGCCGACTTCGGGTGACAATTAACCGGGGGGTAAAATTCGTTTTTTCGTAAACAAACAATACTCACAGATGGATACGAGGTATTAAAGTGATCCT